ACTCCAGGAGCAAAGAGGCAGAATTTGCCTTCCCTGCCAGAGGTAATCTTTTAATCTCTTTGGCTTTAATCTTGCAGCCCAGCATAAACCCAAATCCACACGGGGTGGGGGGGGGAGGGGAGGGGGAGGGAGGGGCACAAATCTCCTGTCCTGGCGAGGAGAGTAATCCAGGCTTTTAACCCTGCATTTCATCACGGATCTTTTATCCCATCTCTGCCTTCCTCACCCCTGGCTCCTGAGAGGCACTCCTCATAGGAGATGAGGAGGCAGAGAGAGCAAACGGATGGGGTAAGGCTAGGTTGGAATCACGTGTTAAAAAGACTCCACTTGGAGAAGCCAAGCTTTCATTGCAAAACAACATAAAAGAGAAATGATACGTTGTGGTTCATTGCCATTAAGAGTAATAGTCATCAAAAGACACCACTAAGAGAAAGAAGAGCCAATTCACAGATGCAGAAAAGCTATTTCAATACATATATCTGACAAAGGACTAGTACGCAGCATATATAAAGAACTCCTACAAATTAATAAGAAAAAACTTTTTTTTAATAGGCAAAAGATATGAAGTGGGATTTCACAAACGAAAATCTCAGAATCACCCATACCCACATGAAAAGACAATGTTATCAACCATGAGAGATATGCAGACTAAAACCACCACAAGCTATCATTCACACCCACAGGAACAACCACAATTGAAAACTGAAAATATCAAATATAGGAGAGACGAGGATCAACTCTCATATGCGACTAGTGGGAGTAGCAATGGTTCAACCTGTCTGACAGTTTCTTACAAAGTTGTGCATATATCTATTCTATGACCCAGCCATTCCACAACTGGGTATCTGCCCAAAAGAAGTGAATGTATATGTCTACACAAATACTTGAACACGAATACTTTCTGCAGCTTTACTCATAGCTCCAGACAGGAAACCATCCAACTGTCCATCAACAGAATAAATGAATAGACAAATGATGGCATAGCCCACAGTGGAATATTACTTAGCACTAAAAAAAAAAAAAATCAGGGCTCCTGGGTGGCTCAGTTGGTTAAGCATCCGACTTCAGCTCAGGTCATGATCTCATGGTCTGTGAGTTCAAGCCCCGCTTCGGGCTCTGTGCTGACAGCTCAGGACCTGGAGCCTGCTTCGGATTCTGTGTCTCCCTCTCTCTCTGCACCTCCTCCACTCGTGCTCTTCCTGTCTCTCTCTCTCAAAAATAAATAAACGTCAAAAAATTTTTAAAAAATCAACTATAGATATGCATACCACAATCTGGACGAATCTCACAAGTATCACACTAAGTCCAAGAAGTCAAAAGCAAGAGAACATCTGCATGACTCTGTTTAGATGAAATATAAGTACAGGCAAAGCCAGTCTCTGGGGATACAGGTCAGGATCGTGGTTGCCCTTTGAGAGAGGAAAGGTTAGTGACTAGGAAGGGCGTAAGAAGCCTTCTGGGGGTGCCGGGAACGTTCCACAAACATAGGTAAAAATTCACTGAACTGTACACGTAAAACCCGCACTTTCCTTTCCTAGATGCAAATTATACCTCAATATTTTTTCAACAACAGTAAAAAAGAGATGAAAAGACACTATATTTGAAACATGTACTCAGGCCATCCCCCTCCCCTTTGGCACTCAAAGGACCCAGGACCCAGCCCAGCTCTGCCACAGCGTGGCTTTGACTCAGCCTCAGTTTCCCCATCTGTAAAAAGGAAAGAATCTCCAATAACCTCCCCAGTCTGTGGGGAGGATCCGTGTGAAAACAGAGGCGAAATGTTCTCTTGGATTGTCAGAACCCTTCAGGGGTTGTGACCCCCTCTCAGGGCCTGGCAGAAATTGGTGGGGTAGGGTGCATGAAGTTGGTCCCTGGACCTGGGCTGCCTAGCGATGGGCCTGGAGGAGTGTGAAGAGGTCTTCCCAGACAGGCTACAATTTGCTGGCCACCCACATCCTCAAGACTCCAGGCTACTCCTATCCTGCCCTCCCAGGTAGACCATCCAGACCTCCAGCCCAGTGCTAAACCATACCATCACTGTTGTCATCACGGTTCCTTCCAGAACATACCTGCAAGGCACAGAGCCCCTGCTTGACGGCCTTCTCCTCTCTCCCCCTTGCCCTGCCATCGTTGCCTGGCCGAACCCCTCCCCCAAAGCTGGCACGACCATAGGACACTGAGGGGGAGATAAAACCCCCAAACTAGCAAGGCCCCGAAGGGCCTGGGTCCCGGCATTCGCAGGCAGGGCTCCTTCCCCTCACCCTGTCCAGCTGTCTTGCCTGAAACAGTCACAGCACCTGAAAAAAGCCACAGGCTCCACTTTGGGGTGTATAGGACACTACTGTGCTCTGGGGCCGAGGTGGCAAAGTGTCCTTCTCGTGTCCTGTCTCCCATTTACGTTAGTAATGAACTCACGTGGCAATGTGCCCGGCCGAAAGGTTCCACTTCCCAGCCTCCCCTGCGGTGAGGCGAGGCCAGTGAGGGAAACATGTGTTGTCAGGCGGGACCGAGGGAAACGTTCAGCCTGTCTATACCCACCACCCCAGAGAGCAGATGTGACGGTGGAGGTCCAGCAGCCACTTTGTAGCATGAGGCGACTTTGAGGGCGGAAGCCGCGTGCCAAAGTTGGTGAAACTAAGAGAAAGAAGGAGCCTGGGTCCCTGACGACACTGCTGGGTCCCCCACCACCTCTGGACTCTCCTACCTCCCGACGTCCTCTGCGTGAAACAGAAGTAAGCCTCAGTCTGGTTCAAGCCACCATGACTTCCACTCTCTGTTATCCGCAACAGGAAGCAACCCTGAACTGATACACAAAAGCCCTGCAAGGTTGCGATTCCTGGCCTGGAGCGCAGGAACGTTTGCCCATCCCAAAAAGCAAACACACCAACAAATGAAACGCTCGCCGGTTGGGGTAAGATCCTCCTTTAAAATGGTCTTCCTCTGGCTTTGTCACGTGAAGCGGAGTAGTTGGCAAGAAGCTCCCCGGTGAAACCGAGGCTTGCGGTTCTCCCGCAAGAAGGAGCACTGTTCAGCCACGCTGTGACCTCCCTACGTGACCGTCCTGCGCTGCAGGGCCCGGGGGCTGGGGACTCCGCAAGGGCAGCAGACAGCCTGAGTTCAGATCCCTGCTCCACGAACTGCGGCCCTCTTTGTGCCTCGGTTTCTTCGCCTGTAAAATGGGCGTCCTAGGGTGAGGAATACAGAGCCCGACCTGGGAAGAGCTTGGAGCGGTGCCTGGTGCAAAGGAGGGGCTCGAGACTGTCAGCCACGGTTGTCACGTTCGTGCTGAGAACTTTCTTTCTTTCTTTTTTTTTTTTTTTTTTTTTTTTTTTTTAACATGTATTTGTTTTTGAGAGACAGAAACAGAACACAAGTCGGGGAGGGGCAGAGAGAGAGAGAGAGGGAGACCCAGAATCCGAAGCGGGTTCCAGGCTCCGAGCTGTCAGCGCAGAGCCCGACGCGGGGCTCGAACCCACGGACCGCGAGATCGTGACCTGAGCCGAAGTCGGACGCCCACCCAGGCGCCCCTAGAACTCTCTTTCTTTGCGTCTGCTTGTAACACGAAACTGAACTTACTCTCCAGTTTTGGAACATTTCATTCCCCCCCCCCCTCCATATTCACTGCCCTTATTGGAATCAACCCCGGGAAGAGCCTTCTGGCCCAGGAGGTGGACCCCAGACCTTTTCCTCTTGCTTGGGTTTACGCGAGCAAAACCCAAGCGTGATTGTAGGCGATTCGCTTGCCAAGCGCCAGGGCAGAAACTTCAACGCGTCCGTGCCACTGAGGCAGCGTCAGGAAGCTCCCTCCGTCCCAAACGATCTCCCCTCCGACACTGACTGAAATTCCACGCTAGAGCCAGAGGACCCCTGGGAGGAGAAGCCACTTAGAAGCACAGCATCTTGGAGTAAATGCACGTACTCAGGTCAGCGTCGGGGAGGCAGTCTCGGCAGGGAAAGGGAGGGCAACCCCGCAGGCGAATTTTTGGATCTTCCCGGGGCAGTGCGAGAAGACTGCAGCCTCTAGAGGCTGTGAGCTCAGTCTCACCCACCTACACATGGCGTGCGCGCGCGCACACACACACACACACTGATAATCGCTTTACCCCAGCAGTAGGGGCTTAAGCGGCTATGTAGGCTAGCACCCCCCCCCCCCAGCTGCACCAGTCACCTCTGTCCCGAGGCGCTCGGTTCCCAGAGGCTCAGCAAGGGACGTCTTCAGGGCTGGCGGCTGATGGGGTTTCAACAGAGCCAGTCAGCTGCCAGTAACACACAGCCTCCCTCTGTCTCTGTCTCTCACGCACACGCAGTCATGCCCAGACGTACAGTCGGAGGCAACACGCGAGACACGGGCGCACCGAACTGTCCTCCCAAAGGTGTGACAAAGGGGGACAGGCCACACACAACCGTCCCGTCCGGGAGGAGGCTCTGGTCTGTGTGCTCCCAGAAACAAGGCAGCTGCACAGACAGGACCGCTCCCACCCAGATCTTTCCCCGCCCCCCCACCTCTGGTGCCCCCTCATCCCTGCTCCTAGTCAGGCATTGCACCCCCAGAAGTTCTCAGCTCCCCTCCTCCACAGGAGCCCCATATCCTCTCCCCGGGAGCCAAGCCCAATCAGGGTCCTCCTTCCCACTCATCCCCTTTCCCAGCACTCAAGGCCCCCCAGGAATCTTTTCACCCCCCCCCACTTCCCCCATTAACGCCCCCTCCTAGCCCTGGGACTGTAAGAACCCAGGCATAAGAACCACGTCTGCCCTTGTCTTCCCCGCCTGCGCCACAGGGCTACGCACGGAGGTGCAGGGCCCCAACCTTCCCCTCCCCCTGCCTAGGGCTCACCCCCTCATCTCCCCCCCTTGGGGAGCCGCTGGCGGCTCCTCTCGTTTCCCAGCGAGCGTGTGACAACAGAGATTAGAGCAATTAGAGAAAAGTCATCAGAGGGCAAGGCAGGAGCCACCACGACACCCAATTACCAGGGCCGGCAAGACACGGGTGAAGCACAAACTCACTCAACACGGATGACAGATTGGCACAAATTCCAAAGCCAGGGAGGGGCGGGGGGGTGGGGGGAGCCAAGTTCCATCTGAGACTCTCTTGTTTCCGTTTCAACCTGCTCTCTGCTGTTTGCGGCAGCTTTCACATCAGTGCGCCCAAGAGAGGCAGACGGGGTGGAGGTGATTTCAGTCCCATTTTATAGAAGAAGCGATTGCGGCCCAGGGGATGGGGAAGAACAGTTTCAGAGCGCGTCCAGTCCACAGGCCGGATCTTCCCGGCTGAAGGCGGGGATCAGGGTGGCCCCAGTCCCCGGGAGAGGTCCCCGATGGCTTTCCGTCCCGTTCCCTGCTCTTCAACTCTCCCTGAAAATAATCGGCAAAGGGTTGAGGTACGCGGGCATGCTGTCTGGGGCTCGCGGTGGGCTTGGCATCTGCACGGGGGTGACCTTGCCCTGCAGCAAACGACAGAATTATTTCATCGATGGCTGCTGTCCCCAGCTGGTCACGGTTTGCCGAGCCCGTTCAATGTGCCGTGTGCTTTTCCTCCCTGGCAGGGAGCGGTGCGGGTGTTCTCAGCATCTGAGCGCGGGTGGTCCGTTTTCATGCCCCCTTATTAGGCCTTTCCCAAGCCTGGCCTGGTCCCCCCATGGCAGCTCCCCCCACCCAAGCGTCTTAACCTTCCTGCCTGGCCCACCTTGCCCTGAGCCTGGCCTGGGCAAGAAGCCAGCAAGTGATGCAGGAGTGCCCCCTGGTGGTGATGGCCTGTTCCGCCCACTGGGACTCCAGCCAGGGGTCTAGCGAGCCTCACTCCCCACACACACCTCCCCGACTGCCCGCCTGTCGCCTGTCGGGGCGAAGGGAAGACCGGGAATCTGTGGAAGAAGCACAAAGACCCGAGGCCTGAGGAAGTTGCGGATGGCTCCATCCCTGTTCCAGCAGCTGGCAGCACGAAGGCCCCTGGGTGGCAGGTGGACACCAGGCACAGCCACACCAGCGTGGCCCATCAGAGGCGCTCGGGAGATGCGGGATGGATGAAAAATAGAATAAGCGGATGAGTGAATAAATGAATTCTTTGTTTCCTAAAAGGTGGTGCGAATATCACTATCAGTAAGCAGGCTGATGTTTAGATAATATTGATTAACTCATTTAAAAGCAATGTACTTCTTTTTATGTGTGTTACTTATAATATATCTGGCCCATCCGATTAATTGTATCAAGGGTATTTTTAAACCAGACGCGTCGGAGCGCCTGGGTGGTCAGTCGGTTGAGCGTCCAACCTCTGATTTCAGTTCAGGTCACGATCCTGGGGTCGCGAGATCAAACCCCGCACTAGGCTCCATGCAGCACGGAGCCTGCTTAAGATTCTCTCCCTCTCTCTCTCTCTCTCTCTGTCTCTCTCTCTCTACCCCTCTCCCCAGCCGTGCTCTCTCTCTAAAAAACCATAAACAAACAAACAAATATAAAACAGATGTCTTTAGGTACAAAAGGGGCCAATGCAAAAAAAAAAAAAAGAACTTTAGGTAAAAAACATGTGGGTATCCTCAGGACCCAGCAAAGAGGTGTTTGATTAATGCTAGTGTAATAAATTAATGAATGGAGACACGGCCAGGCAGACTGTGGATGGTCTTATAGAGCAGTATATGGGTCCCAAACTCGGCTGTATGTGAATCACCTGCTTTAAAAAGCATCTCTGGGCAGGTATGTGTCTCTGACGATCAGGTGGCTGAGGAGGGAGCCCGTGTGCTTGGGCACTCAGTTTGGGCACCGTATTAAGGAGCAGCCTGACTTCACTGCCATTGGAGAGGGTGAAACTGCCACCATCAGACGAAGCAAGCCACATTTGGCGACCTGGGAGCCACTCGCTGGGTGAACGGTCGGCCCCAACGAACTTGACGCTATCACTCAAGGGAAGAGAAGTGAGCTTATATTTATGTAAAGTACTTCAAATTAACACAATGTGTAAAGTTGTTGTGCATTTACTATGATTGTAACATAATGACTAATTATTTCTCATTTATTCACCCTGCATATCATATTTTATTTAGCATGTGTCTTTACTATCTGTCAGTATTACATTAATTGCTGTTCAGAACACAGAGAATTTCCTGTCCTAAGCTTATTGACACGTTAGCTCTTCACTTGTTGAAATTTTCATTTGTTGGAAGTTTCTCCCCTTAAACAGAAAAACCCCCTTATTGAAAACTGTGACTAGTTAATTATCAACGTAAGGTAGTTAATGTAGTTATAATCTGTTTATCTGTTTTAACTGGATCCTGGTTTCCTCGTAACAATTTGCAGTTACTTTGTTGAGTAGAAGTTGAAGGAGCGAGTGGTTTGGGGTGGGCTTTGTAAAGAGGTGCTGTTTGCTTCCAAAGCTACACATAGTCTAGAAAGCGCAGGTTGAGTTCATATTTGATGTGTGAGTTGTTATCTTGTTAGATACTATTAATAAGAAAAAAGAATTTCCAGTCGTGAATTTTCATGGCTATTCCTCTGGGAAAGAATTGATAGAAATAAATTCTGTATTATTTGCAAAGATTGACATACACATTGAGATTTGAGTCTAATTTTTTATATCAGTTTAATGGTATTCAGATACCCCCTATCCTTTTTTTGAACTTTGAACAGATTTGTAAAACATAAAATGTGAATAGATTTGTCATAGCACGGGGTCAAAAATTAGTCCTGTTGATGGCAAGTTATTCGATATTAATTCCGTTTTATGAACAAATGCAATTAAGTTGCAAATCCCTTAACAGAGTGCGGTGTTGGGCCAATGTTTTAATTGGTATTAGGAAATGTCAGATTAGCATCCCCAAGGAAGAAGAAATCTTTGGCACAAGGCTGAAAACATACGTGTTAGTTTTAAAGCTGTGCCTTGCTCTCTTACATGGCTACAGGGAATATAAATCGGTACATCCTCTCTCAAGGACAATTGGAGAGTATCTATCTAAATGATAAATGCACCTTCTCTCTAATTCACCAGTCCTGCTGCTAGGAAATTATCCTCCAAAATCCTCAACACCGGAACATAATAACATGTGTACGAGATAACTCACTGTAGCAGTCATTTGCAGAGCACGTGACTGGAGACAACCTGAATATCCCTCAACAGAGGGCCAGTGAATAAAAACCTAGATAGCCGTGCTTTGAAACACTACGTGGCTGTAAAAAAGAATGAAGACTCGTCAGCAACAAAAAATAACCCAATTAAAAATGGGGCAAAGGACTTGAGCAGACATTTCTCCAAAGAAGATGTACAAATGGCCAATAAACACATGAAAAGATGCTCAGCATCACTAACCGTTAGGGAAATGTAGATCAAAACCACAATGAGCTACCACCTCCCACCCATTTGGAGGACTATTAGTGAAAGAAAGAAAGAAAGAAAGAAAGAAAGAAAGAAAGAAAGAAGAGAGAAAGAAAGAAGAGAGAGAAAGAAAGAAAAAGAAAGAGAAGAGAGAGAAGAAAGAAAGAAAGAAAGAAAGAAGAAGGAAGGAAGGAAGGAAGAAGGGAGAGAGGGAGGAAGGAAGGAAGGAAGGAAGGAAGGAAGGAAGGAAGGAAGGAAATAAGTGTTGACGAGGGTCTGGAGAGAATGAAACACTTGTGAATTGCAAGTGGGAATAGAAAATTTCACAGCTACCGTGGAAACAGTATGGCAGTTCCTCCAGAAGATGAAATGTAGAATTACCATACGATCCAGCCATTCCACCCCGAGCATATTCCCAAAAGAATTAAAGGCAGGGATGCAAACAGATATTTGGACACCTGTGTTCAAACATCACCTGTATTCACAGCAGCCAAAAGATGAAAACGGTGGACGGATGCATAAACAAAATGACACACACCGACAGTAGAATAGTCTGGAGCCGTAAAAGGGAAGGCGGTCTGATACACGCTGCGGCACGGATGAGCCTTGAACACATTATACGTAAACATTATGAAAAAATGTTGGTGACGGTCGTGCGACGTTGTGAACGTGATGAACGTCACTAAATAGTACATTTGAACTGGTTAACGGGCACCTGGGGGACTTCGTCAGCTGAGCCCCCGACTCTCGATTTCCACTCGGGTCCACGATCCCGCCGTCGTGGGCTCTGCTCTCTCTCTTTCTCTCTGCCCCTCTCCCCCACCCTCTGTCTAAAACAAAATGTAAAAAAAAAAAAATAAGAAAATAAAACGGTTAAAAGGCCAAATTTTATGTCACGTAGGTTTTAACACAATGTTTTCAGTTAATGATGGCATTTTTGTAAAGGGGTGCAGGGACCTAACTCCTCCTCTTTGATTAGAGGTCAGCCTTGGTTACTGGCTTCTAATGAAGTGATGTTGCCCGACTTCCTAGGCCGGGTCGTAAGAGGCAAAGCAGCATCTACCTAGCAGTCCTGTCTGGGAGCCCTGAGCCAACCTGTACGAAGCCCAACTACGCAGTGAGGTCAGGCCAGAGAGACCTCGACAGAGCTAGAGGACAAGGCCAGCAGGTGTCAGCCACGTGAGAGAGCCTTCAGATGACCCTAGCCTCAGCCCTGAGCCGCCCCGCTTGGCACCAAGTGGAGCGGAGACAAGCTGTCCCGCGAATCCTGTTCAAACTGCAGATCCGTGAGCGAAGTAAGTGCTGTCGCTGTTTTAAGCCACTAAGTGCTGGGGGTACTTTGTTATGCAGCGCTGAGTAAATGGAACAGTAAACATATTCCTTATGTATTAGAGTTTATTTCGATTTAATTTAAAAATAATCAGATACAAATACGACAGATTTAGACTACATAAAATGTCTCATGCCAACCAGCTGGTAAATTGGGTATTTTCTCTCTCGTGGTCTGTATGCCGCATCTATAAAGCCATTAAAGGTGCAAGGATACTTTCACCTGAATACTGAACGAAGTCGGGGAAGTCAATGGGCTGCAGAGACATAGCCGACTAGGAACACACTCGGGCTGGGATCTTTACCCCAGAAGGCGAGGATATGAGTGGGAAAGACAAAGTTTGCTGGAACTACGTAGTATGAAGGGATATGTTTCCAACTCAGTAGGGCCAAACTCAAAATAAACTTGGTCAGGGCACCTGGATGGCTCAGTTGGTTGAGCGTCCGACTCTTGATTTCAGCTCAGGTCGTGATCCCAGGGTCACAAGATTGAGCCCCGTGTCAGGCTCCGTGCTGAGTGTGGAGCCTGCTTAAGATTCTCTCTCCCTCTGCCCCTTTCCCCAACTTGCTCTCTCTCTCTCTCTCTCTCTCTCATAAAATAAAACATTAAACAAAGACAAACCTGGCCAGCAGGTCCTTGAAATAAAATACAGAAGGTGGAGAAGTTATATGAGTGATGTACATATCACACAAGGTGGGGTTTCGAGAAGCTTGAGATGGAAGTTATACGGCCAAAGCAAGAGAATTTCTGATCAGGACCATTGAAGGGCAAAAGGTTTATTAGGTAAACTTAGAAGAAGTTAAAAACAAAGGGATAGGGGCGCCTGGGTGGCGCAGTCGGTTAAGCGTCCGGCTTCAGCCAGGTCACGATCTCACGGTCCATGAGTTCGAGCCCCGCGTCGGGCTCTGGGCTGATGGCTCGGAGCCTGGAGCCTGTTTCCGATTCTGTGTCTCCCTCTCTCTCTGCCCCTCCCCCGTTCATGCTCTGTCTCTCTCTGTCCCAAAAATAAATAAACGTTGAAAAAAAAATAAAAAAAAAAACCAAAGGGATAGTGTGTGCCCTACTCTTCCATCCCTGTGTATGTCCCTCATCACACCATCGTGTTCTGGAACTCTTGCTTGTTTGCTGACCTGTTTATTTTATCTCCCTGTATTAGTCAGGGCCCGCTAAGCACTGTAATAAGCATCCCAAACCCAAGAGCTCAACTCAACACAAGTTCATTTCTGGTTCTGCTGACAATTCAGTGCAGCCCTTTGGTGGACAGGCCTCCATGGGGAGATCCTGGGACCTGGGTTCCTCCCATCTCCATGTCCTGCCCTCCCCTAACCCATGGTCCTCCCTAGC